AAGGCTTGAGGAGCGCCCGCCCTTTTGTTCGTGTGGCTGAGTAGGTCTCACGGGCGCCACCGTCTGCCACTTTGGGAAGGTGTTCCCACCGGCTGAACCCGAGGCCAAGGCCAACCGGGACACGAGCGCCGACGCGGCGAAACCCAACCGGCGTCTGGAAAATGTTCACCTCCGCAGCCGAAAGGACCTGCAGGGGGCGCTTTCCCACGTCAGAGGGGCGCGCAAGAAACCGCAACGCGCGATGGACGAGCCGCTCTGAAAAATCAAATGCCCGATGTTGGTGGCGGCGGGCACTACAACACGCACAGCGCTGGTCGCCTGCGTGCGCTTCTGGCGGGCGGACTGCAAGGTCGCCTGTCGCCCACAGCACTGCACGCAAGATGTGCGCGCCGGCGGCAGTCAGAGCCCTGGCACCACAACATGGAAAAATGGCCTGCTGTTGAACCCTCCGTCCAGAAGAATATGCTCGCCATTCGTTCACACCAAGACCTTACGCTCCACTTGCCGTGGCAGTATACGAAATGTTAATCCGAACGCTGAACGGTGGGGCGAGATGAGAGATGATAGGTGCGGTCTAAAGAAAATTTGAATTGTATGTAGCCGCTGCTGATACAGATGAGACGTTCTCACAATTTTGATTTCTCCATTTCTACACTCCAACTCTGGCACATTTCCGCCCTGCCGTCAAGCAGCCCAATCCAACTGTCCAACGCTCGCCGGTGTCCCGATCCAGCGGAGAGCACCTGCCGCCGTTAACAGGTGCTGAGCTGGGCGTGATGCCTGACCGCGCAGGCCACGCGCCGCCGGCGGCTGTGCTCCTCCCCTCCCCCCTCGCGCTTCCCGTACAGCGACCCTCGCGCCTCGCCGGCCGAAAAAGGCCACGTTCTATCCGATCATGTGCATGGCCGCCCGCTTTCTGGAGCCGCGTGCCACCGGCGGGCCGGTGGCAACTGGCCGGCGCCGGCAGCGAGAGGCGGCGGCGGCGCGCTCCGCCGCCCGGCCGGAGCTCAGCGTCGCCCGCCGGCCGGCGACGGCCGCCCCTCCGCGGCAGGGGCGGCTCCAGGAGTGCGCCAGGGAGGGCGCCGCCGACCGGACGACCGGCCGGCCCGGGGCGTCCCGGGGCTGTCCCGGCGGCGGCGAGGCACTGTCAAGGCCTGGCGCTGCACGTTGACGCTGTGACGTGGCGTGTGGACATCTGACGGGGACAGGTGTAGGCCTGCTGACGCGCCTGCCAGCGTGGCCACGCTCATTGACGCTGAGTAATGGCTCTGAGCGTGATGAAGTTCCGATCGGAGGGAGTCGGGCTGGCGGCGCGCGTGTGTGGAGGCTCGGCCGCGGCCCGGCGGGGGTCGGCGCCGCGGCTGGCCGTGCCGGGCCGACCCTGTCCGGGTGACAATGGGGCCGGCCCGGACGCCGCCCACAGGGTGATGGAATGCCGCCCCGCGGCCCAGCCGACGTCAGCCGGCCGTGATGTCCGACCGTCGGATGAGTGACCCTGTGATGTCGGGACGCCCGATGTCGGATCCTCTGATGTCGGGGCGCCTGATGCAGTAGCCTTCGGGCCAGTGACGCCGGCTCGGGGCGATGTGGCCCCGCTGACGTCGGCTCCGTCCGATATCGCTCCGCTGCCGCCGCCCTGCCGCGACTTCGGCTGGCTGACTGGCCAGCTCACCGTGACGTCGGCCGCCATCCGCAGCCGGCCGGAGCAGAGGCGCAGTCGCCGCTCGGGCCGCGGTGACGGCGTCCGCGGGCCTCCGCGGGTGTCCGCGGGCCTCGGCGGGCGTCCGCGGGCGTCCGCGGGCCTCCGCGGGCGTGGCCTCGAGCGCCGCTGACGTGACCCGCAGCCGAACGCGGGCGGATGGGACGCGAATCGCGGACCAAGGGATGTGCCGGACACAGCCCGGCACCGGCCAGATGGGCACAACAGCCCGGTCGTCTGGCCGACTGGAGGCGCGGGGGCGAGACCGGCAGGCGTTAGGGCGGCGATATTTGTGGATATTATTACCATCTAGCCTGCTCAGTGCACTCTGAACCCACTAACTAGCAAAGATGTACCACCCAGTTAAACGGACAATCATCCACCCTTTCATCAGACAGAACTGCGGAGGGCTTTACGCCACACCTTGTGGCGGCACGGCCGGTCCGGGCTTGGGCTGACCACCGGCCCGTCGCCAGCTGGACTTCCCACGTCAGTCAGGCCAAACAATGCACCCGCCCCGGCGCTCGTACCCAGCGCCGCTGGATGGCGAGTCGAGCATCTTTCTTCCAGACAACGGAGGCGACAAAGACACGTACGTGATTCCGGGAAATGCTTTTGCGCTCCACACCCTTCACTTTGAGGTGACACAAAAAAGGGCACAATTTCCAACTCATGCACCCGGAACCTGTCCAAGTACCATGTTTGACATGCACCCTGATAAGGCGCAAAGACAGTTGTGGGTCGGAATGCCCACTTCAGCACGTCTATGCTCAGAAAGCTTACGTAGATTTATGCTGGTATCAAGGTTTTAAGACCTTGGATGATCTGTTTTTTGTAATGAAAATTTGGAAGTGATGGGGTTGACAACATGGGCTCTTACTGTTCTCAAAGTTTAATCAAATCAAGCTTCTGCCATAGCTGCAAGACAATCCGATTCGACTCTAGTCGGATATCCGTTGCGGTTGACCGCCAGCGGACGCTCAGCGGACGGTCAATGGTCAACAGCGGAGTACGTGTGCTCATTGATTTCGCGATGTTTCGAAAAGACGTGCCAAAATCGGAAGATTTGGATGTTTTCACACTGAAAGTGTTCCACATGTGTGTGAGATTTTAAACTGAAGTGGCCAATTTGAATATCAATTCACATATCACATATGGGTTCACTTCAACAATAATTCACAGCCCTGTCCTTATTTAGACCTAAGACCCGCCAGTTTCTTAGCTGCACTCCACGACAACGTCGTTCAAATATCCTGCCAGCCCATAGGCCATGCGGCGTTCAAGGCCAGTAATTATAGTATCGTGGAGCCGCTTAGGTCAGGCCTCCGTGTGCGCGATTTCCTAATGTTGCGGACGTCCATTGGCTCTCCATGAATGTTGAACCAGTTGCACAGGGCTCAGTCACGATTGGTTGTTTGGATTAGCCCGTCTTGCACCGGGAATGACCATTTCAAGGTTGTGGGAGGAGAGGAAATGGCGGTAGGGCAGGACTAGACACGCCTGGGTCTAACCTCGAGCCCCGGGTCGCGCATGAACCCACCGGAGTGTGCGCTGGGGCCTCGTTTGGGGCCCCCCGAGGCGCGTCTCGGCCCGGATCGCGTGTTGCGCTACATTTTGTAAGAAGTTGGAGATTATGACTTGTTATTACGGAAGTAAGACTTGTAATCGAATAACTTCGAAAAATGCCATAAGCAAGTATGTCAATGCAAGTAAACTCTGTAGACTCACGGGATAATATACAAGAACACCACGGGGGTGCCAAACACGAGCACTTAACGATATGTGGCTCAGTGAACACTTGCAGCACCGTACTATCATCTCTCGGCAAATTCGAAGTACTTCAAGTGATAGCGTAGGGTGGCAATTTCGCATGTCTAGTTTGGCAGCGACTCTATGTCATACAAAGGTTCCATGACGCGCCCAAACAATGACAGGCAGCAGAAGAGCATATTGAGGAGCAGAAAAAGCTCTTGTCTGGAGTAGCCCTTTTCACTTTAAAGTATGCCAATAGCTATAAGCGAGCTTATTTCATCATATCTGATGCTTGGTTCAACATCGATAAATTTGTGTTTAGAACTGTCCTTTCCATGTGTTGAAACGCTCGGTCTAAGACTGGTGTCCGATTGCAATAACCTGTCCATACAGTTACAGTTGCAGGGTGCAGTTGAGTAAATTCCATTTCATTGAAATGTATGCACTTTTGCTTGTGCTATGGACATTAATGTAGATGTTTTCAGTTTTATTGCGATTATTCTGCATGTTTTATTGGGTACAAATATGATTTTTTCGTAATATTTTTTTGTCAACGTCGGGTCCCGAAACCTTAACTCAAATCATGTTTAGGCCTTCATGTTTCTGACCGTAGGCCTTCCGACTGATGTGCTCTTCATGCAGGCGTCATGTGCGCACGCCTTATGAAAGGGGACGTTCTGATAAAGGACACCAAAAATAGACCTCCTAAAAATAGACATCCTGGGCTAGTCCGGCGTCCACTCGGCCGTCTGCGGGCTGGCGTGTCCGGTCTCGGGTGGTCACAGCACGCCGCGCCACCGCCACTGGGCGACGGGTCGCTCGGACGTGACCAGCGAAGCGGACTACCGTCGTAGCCGGCACTGTCGGGGACAGACTCCCAGCGTCGCAGCCGGCACTGTCGGGGACAGACTCCCAGCGGGGCCGGCGCTGGGCGGGGATGACCCGCCGACGGCCCGCCCCGGACGTGCCCGGCTGGAGCCCAGCGGGCGCCGCGGCCGGCCGGCCCCCCCGTCCTTCCCCGCGTGCCGCAGCGGCAAAAACATGGCCGCACCGCGCCGGACGGCCACCGCCGCCGACATATTGCGCGTTCTCGTTGGGACGTGAGGCGCGCCCGGTCGGCTGGTGTTAATTACTCGGGCCAGGAATGTGCTGCCGCCTGGGGTCAGGGCTCAATTAGCGGCGGCCGGTCACTGGGCTCGCTCCGGTCACTGGGCTCACTCAATGACCGGAGGTCACGGGATTTGGCGGTTTGACGTTGGCGTGCTCGGCGGCCGGCGGTGCTGGCAGTTTTAATTATTTCCCTGGCCCGTGTGTTGCCGTGCTGAATGAAGTTTGTACTGGATCGAGTGGGCATGCGTTGTGGCGGGGTTCGCAGGACGTCGAGCTGTTAGCGGGACATCGTGTTCGTGAGATGTTATGTGCCGTCCGTGCATCTACGCACCGTGTCACTGGACTTACCACTTAAACGACTGACCTCTGACCTCACCTCATAACTGACCTCACCCCGTTCGTGTTCACGCCCCCGACGTCAATGTTCTGTTGTTTCAAGTACTGTCGTACAAAGGAGGCACCTGTGAGTACCGTACGGGAAGCCGGACTCCTCTTGCTGTGGCCGGCCCGGGGTCCGGTCCCGACTGTAGCATGTTGCATGCGCTGCCGTTTGTCGCACCCCTTCCCGCGGCCGCGGCTCGATGGCGGCCGCGCGCCGGGGGCGGCCACACCGTCATTAGGGTCACGCGCTGTCCCGCCGCCCCGCCGGCCCGCCGGCCACCGGCCTCGGCTTAGGGCCCGCCAGGCCCGGCTTGGCGGCGATGGTGCTGTCGGCAGCCACCGGCCGACACTGGGATGCAGGCCATCGGCGTGACGTGCTCCAGCCGCACTGCTACGCGGAGAGCATGGGCAGATCACGACACATGCTCAACTGCTTTTGTAAACTGCGCACGACGCCAGCATGTGCCGTTATGTGTTGTAGTGGCTTTGTGGCGTCCGGGCAGAGTGCTTGCGCTGCTGCAGTTGCTAGATCATCAACGCGCAGGTGCTGACCACTAGCACCGTAAAAAATGTTTGCTGGTCAGAGAGCCGCATGCGTAACTTCACATGCCATTTATGTGTCCCGGCGTGCCGTCTTTAAAGCAGCGAATGTGCTAATGTTTCATCAGCGCGCGGACACGAGCTCTGCACACCCTCCCCGTGAGCGCCGTCGTCCCCGGTGTCAGCGGGCGTCTGGCTGGCCCGGGCCGGTGCCGGAGACCGCCGGAGCAGGCTCCCGTGCCGCCGTCTCGCCGCTCTGTGGTGCCGGTGTCGGCCGGCGTGCCGTCGTCCGCGCGGCCCCCGCTGACCGGCGCCCCCGCCGTGTTCCAGACCAGGACAACCAGCGCATCATCATCCGCGTGGAGGACGACAACGACGAGAACCCGTACTTCATCAACCGGCCGCTGCCCATGCAGGCGGTGGTGAAGCTAAACGCGCCGCCCAACACGCCCGTGTTCACGCTGCAGGCGCGCGACCCGGACACCCACCACAACATCCACTACTTCCTCGTCAAGGACCGGAGTGAGTGGGTTGCCGCCGCGGCCGAGGCGCGGGAGATGGCGCGGCGCCGGGTCGAGCCCGAGCCGGCGGCGACCCTCCTTCCCGCCCGGCCAGTCACTCGCAGGGGTGTCGATTGGCTCGGGAGCCGTCGGGCGCCGGCCGGTGTGCGTCGCAATCGCCTCGGGACGCGCTGTCTCCGGCCGGGAGTCGGGAGGAGCTCGGCTGGTCCGGCTCCTCCGTCGTCCGGCCTCGGCCGTGACGTGTGGCCGCCTCTGAACGCCAGCGGACACCGCGGACTCCGTGGGACTCCGCCGAGTCCGGGCCGGATCGTTATCCGCATTCCTTGTGGATTGCACGGCGTGGACGCTGGGCCATTTTCATCCGGGCCATTTCCGCCGTGCAGAGCGTGGGGCCGGCCGCCGTCGCCGGCGTCAGCTGAGTAAATCGGCGTCATTTCGGCTCATCATGCCAGTCTTCAATTAGCCGATTCGGGCCTCCTCATTTGGGGCGCGACGCGGCGCGACGGTGACGCATGGGCTCGTTAGTCGGCAGCCGGACGCCGGCGGCGGACGCGGCCGCTCGCACCGGTGGATTGTTGCCGCCGCCGGGCCGCGTTGTCATTGTTCGGGCTGGGGTGGGTCCGCGGGCCCGCGGGCGGGCGGAGCGTTTGCTCGTTGCGCGCCGGGCCGGCGACTGCGCGCGCCGGGCCGGGCCGGGTCGGCCCCGCCCGTCCGGCGGCGCCGCGCTGGCCCCAAGCGGCGCGACCGGCTGGCCGGCGCCGGCTCGCGACCCCCGTCGCCCCGGCCGTGCCCTGCGGGCGCCGGCGGAGGTCGCAGACACGCTGCCGTCGAGCACTGCGGCCGGTTTTCACTGTCGGTTCCCCGGGCGCTGCCGGCCCGTTCGCCGGTGTATTGATCGGGGCCGGCGAGCGGCCGGCGACACTCAGACAGAGCGGTTTGTGTTCGGCCGCCGCCGGAGTGCCCCCGGCGGACGGCGCTGCGGCGCCCAGCCCGGCTCAGCCGCCGCGCCGGTGTGATCGCCGACGAGAATCGCTCGGCTGCGGGATTGCGGTTCATCATGCTGAGATGGACACGGAATTGTTTCGGTTGTGGCGGCGCTCGGAAACTCCCGACCTTTGTTAGCCGGGAGCACCCCGTTGGGTTTGAATTGCTCGTATGTTTGATTTGGCCGGATGGAGTCTGCTCTTCGTTTTTTTTGAAGCCTTATACGTTTCCTTATAAGGATTCGTTTTTATTCATAGACGACATGCTTGCTTGAAGGAAATTGATGCTGGTATCTTACCCAGGCGTTATATTGCATATTGAGATGGAAACGCCGGTATTTGTCGAGGCTGCTAGAGCCTACGACCACCGGACTTCTGTTGTATGGCCACTTCAATCAGCCAGCATTCCACTCACGTACAGAGAAGATTAGACCTAACCGTACCTGGCGACTGCCCGAACGGCACGTTTGATGGCCGCAGCAGCCGATAAGCTAATTAATTAACTTGGTAATCCGCAGGCCGAGGAGAATGATCAAGTGCGGCGGAGGGCGATCAGCTCGGCTCTCGCTGTTGTAGTCTGCAGTCGTAGCGACTCGTGAGCGATGGTTCCGTCAGCAGGACGCATCTGCAGCTCCGACCCGATCTGATCGAGCAATGCTGCAGCTCTGCAGCGCGGCGGGCGTCCACGTGCGGCCTCGCCGGTCCGGGGCTCGCCGCGGCGGCCGGACCGACACCGGTGACGGAGCCGGCGACAGTGCACTGGCGCTAGCCTGGTCCGATGGGAATTGTTGTCTGGTTGGGTCTGGTCAGGACTATCGCATGGCGTGATCCGCTCCATCGTGAAGTGGTTAGGTTCATTTTGAGCCGGTGTGGTTTCGATCTGGTCTGGTCTAGTCTCTCCCGGTCCAGCCCTGGACCGGCTGCGGTCCGGTGCACCGACGCGGCGTCCGCAACGCGACAGCATGGACCGGCGGCCGCCGTCGTCCGCGGCCGGCTCTGCCAACGGCGGCGCTGGAGAGGTGGTCCGAACTCGACCTCCCCCGTGATCACTGAGAGACGGAGAGGGCAGGCGGGCGCTGAGAGACTGGCGTGGCTGGGCTCGGCTCGCTCGGATGGTGGGGCTCGGCGCTGGCGAATCGGCAGGCCTCTGGCGACGGTGGCCGTGCCACTGCTGGAGTATATCGGCAGGCCTCTGGCGACGGTGCCGTGTCCACTGCTGGAGTATATCGGCAGGCCTCTGGCGACGGTGCCGTGCCACTGCTGGAGTATATCGGCAGGCCTCTGGCGACGGTGCCGTGCCACTGCTGGAGTATATCGGCAGGGCCTCTGGCGACGGTGCCGTGCCACTGCTGGAGTATATCGGCAGGCCTCTGGCAACGGTGCCGTGCCACTGCTGGAGTATATCGGCAGGCCTCTGGCGACGGTGCCGTGCCACTGCTGGAGTATATCGGCAGGCCTCTGGCGACGGTGCCGTGTCACTGCTGGAGTATATCGGCAGGCCTCTGGCGACGGTGCCGTGCCACTGCTGGAGTATATCGGCAGGCCTCTGGCAACGGTGCCGTGCCACTGCTGGAGTATATCGGCAGGCCTCTGGCGACGGTGCCGTGCCACTGCTGGAGTATAATCGGCAGGCCTCTGGCGACGGTGCCGTGCCACGCTGGAGTATATCGGCAGGCCTCTGGCGACGGTGCCGTGCCACTGCTGGAGTATATCGGCAGGCCTCTGGCGACGGTGCCGTGCCACTGCTGGAGTATATCGGCAGGCCTCTGGCGACGGTGCCGTGCCACTGCTGGAGTATATCGGCAGGCCTCTGGCGACGGTGCCGTGCCACTGCTGGAGTATAGCGGCAAGGGCCTCTGGCGACGGTGCCGTGCCACTGCTGGAGTAATGTCGGCAGGCCTCTGGCGACGGTGCCGGGCCACTGCTGGGAGTATGTCGGCAAGTGCCTGCCCCTAGTCGACGGTGCCGTGCCCACTGCTGGAGTAAGAGGTATTCGGCAGGCCTTCTGGCAAACGGGCCGTGCCACTGCTGGAGTATATCGGCAGGGCCTCTCTGGCAACGGGTGCCGTGGCCACTGCTGGAGTATATCGGCAGGGCCCTCTTGGCAAGGGCGGTGGCCGTGCCCACTGACTGGAGTAATATCGGCCAGGCCTCTGGGCGGACGGTGCCGTGCCACATTAGCCTGGAGTATATCGGCAGGCCTCTGGCGACGGTGCCGTGCCACTGCTGGAGTATATCGGCAGGCCTCTGGCGACGGTGCCGTGCCACTGCTGGAGTATATCGGCGAGGCCTCTGGCAACGGTGCCGTGCCAACTGCTGAGTATATCGCAGGCCTCTGGCGACGGTGCCGTGCCACTGCTGGAGTATATCGGCAGGCCTCTGGCAACGGTGCCGTGCCACTGCTGGAGTATATCGGCAGGCCTCTGGCGACGGTGCCGTGCCACTGCTGGAGTATATCGGCAGGCCTCTGGCGACGGTGCCGTGCCACTGCTGGAGTATATCGGCAGGCCTCTGGCAACGGTGCCGTGCCACTGCTGGAGTATATCGGCAGGCCTCTGGCGACGGTGCCGTGCCACTGCTGGAATGTATCGGCGTGCCATCACTGGATACCCGATTATCAAGTGGTACAGGATAATGGTTAATCGTGTGAATGAATGACCCGATCTGTCAGCCGATAAATCAATCAAGGCGATGTAATCGAGACCGGTTAACGTGTATCAGTCAATCTTAACAACGCGTCATTTCACCTATGCTCGGCCTTTTACGTCGCCTGAATGTGGCGGCGCGGGCCAATTCTCGGCGCGCGTGACCCGCGTCTACTGCCCCCAGATGAGACGGATGAACCCGTGACGATCAGCGTGCGTGTGCCCGTGTGCCTCGTGCCGTACCTCGAGCGGCCGTCTCGAACGCTGACCGGCGCTCGTCCGTCGCGTCCCCAGCCGTGTGTGTGCCTGCCTCGTGCCGTACCTCGAGCGGCCGTCTCGGACGCTGACCAGCGCTCGTCCGTCGCGTCCCCAGCCGTGTGTGTGCCTGCCTCGTGCCGTACCTCGATCGGCCGTCTCGGACGCTGACCAGCGCTCGTCTGTCGCGTCCCCAGCCGGCGGCCGTTTCCAGGTGGACGAGCGTTCGGGTGTGGTGCGCACGCGCGGCGCCGAGCCCTTCCAGCTGGACATGGAGTACGTGCTGTACGTGAAGGCCGAGGACCAGAACGGCCGCGACGCGCTCGGCAAGTTCCAGGCAACCGAGGAGGAACGGCTCAGCATCGTGGGTGGCAAGCGGCAGCCGCAGTTCTACATGCCCGGCTACGAGGCCAAGATCTTCGAAAACCACCAGAAGGACACCAAGTTAGTGCCGCTGGCCGGAGCGCCGCGCGGGGTGTTCTGGGAGGAAATGTTTGTTTGTGTCCGCCGCTGGCGGGAGCATTCGGTGCTGAGGCTGCAAGATGGACACGATCTGCATGTTGGACACGATCTGACGCCAAGGTCACATGTCTGCACCGTAGGTCATGTCGAGATGGTGGGACGCAAACCGCTGTATCCGATGGGCGAAGGTCTTATTCATATGCATACCCCCAGACGGCCAGTGATTGCTCTTCCGGTAGCTGTAATGACCGGTGCAATTGCGCTATCATCGTTTTGCGTACAAGCCCGGCCGTGGCGCTTTGATTATTGTTCCTGTCGGAACGGTCGCGCCCGGTGTTTGCTGTTACAACACGCCGGGCGGCGGTTCATCATACTGGCGGCGTGTGGCCGACGCCGGGAGCGGCTGCAGGTCGCTCGCCGGGGCGTGGCCCAGATCACCGCGGCCGGCCGCGCCGCCTCATGATGTAAATCAGACCTGGCAGTTTTTGCCGGCTGCGGGTGGCGCGGGCGTCGCAGGAATCGGCGCCGGGGGCCGAAAAACGGCCCACCTATGCCTCGTGATTCTCCCCGCCGCTTTTTACGGCAGGCGCCGGCGATCCGGTGCGCTCCGGCGGCTTTTGATGGCGGTGGCGTCTGTTCCAGGCGGTCGGGGACTGAATAACGCCTCATTTGACCGGGTTGATTGCAGCCGGTGGGGTTTTTGCCGGGCGTGCGCGGCGAAGCTTGGGGCGCAGGCAGCCGGCGCTGCCCGGGCGCCGGCTGACCCAGTCTGGAGTGTATTCATCAGCGCGGCCGCCGTCACCGGTCGTGGCGCCGTGATCTACGGCGCCCGGCCGGGGTGGCCGAAGGTCGGCGGTGACGTGGCGCCGGTCGCCCCGCGGCGGTCACGTGACGCGACGCTCACCCCTCCGGCGCTGCCTGTCGCAGTGTCATCGCCGTCAAGGCCAAGTCGTTCGCCGACCGCGAGATTCGCTACACGCTGAAGGCGCAAGGCCTGGGCGCCGGCACGTTCAACATCGGCCCCACTTCCGGCATCGTCAAGCTGGCCAAGGAGCTGGACTTCGAGGACGTGCGGCAGCCGCACATCTACTCGCTGGTGGTGACGGCCACCGAGGACTCGGGCGGCTTCTCCACGAGCGTCGAGGTGAGAGAGGCCGCTGACGCTGTCGGCGCCGCTGCCGCTGCTGCTGCCTGCGCCGGGGCGACCGGGAAAAGCGGCGTGAAATGCCGGTCATTTTGATGCTGGGCGGATGGTGAATGGAAACTGACTTGCGCATATTGCGTGACGCACGTTATCCTGATGAACTTTCGAGGCTTTCGCAACTGTTCGCCGAAGTCAGCAGATAATGGACCAGGGTGACACTAACAGCATATTATTACGTCTGATGTTTTCATGCACGCCACAGGCAGGCTGTCGGAACGGAAGCAGCGCCGTCAACGTACACTGTCGGCGTTAGTGACACATACACCAGATCTCTCAGGTCAACGCTGCTCTTCGGCTGGCTGGGCTGTACCCACCCGCCGCCGCTGCTCTGGCGCCCACCTCCCCCGCTCCGGCCGGCCTGCCGCGGTCCCCATCCGCCGCTGCTCCTCTGGCGCCCACCTCCCTCGCTCCGACCGGCGTGCCGCGGTACCCATCCGCCGCTGCTCCTCTGGTGCCCACCTCTCCCGCTCCGTCCCGGCCTGCCGCGGTACCCATCCGCCGCTGCTCCTCTGGCGCCCACCTCCCTCGCTCCGGCCGGCGTGCCGCGGTACCCATCCGCCGCTGCTCCTCTGGTGCCCACCTCCCCCGCTCCGGCCCGGCCTGTCGCAGCATGCTCACCCCCTGACCTCCGCCTCCTCTCGCAGCTGACCATCAAGGTCATGGACGTCAACGACAACGCGCCGAAGTTCGAGCTGCCCGACTACCAGACGCACAACGTGCCGGAGGACATCCCGGTGGGCTCGGAGCTGCTGCGTGTCAAAGGCACGGACAGCGACAGCGGCACCAACGCCGACCTCTTCTACTCGGTCAGCGACGACCACTTCCGCGTCGACGACCAGGGCGCCATCTACAACAACCGCGTCCTGGACGCCGACAACAACAACGGCCTGTACCAGTTCCTGGTGACGGCCACCGACCGAGGTGTGTGCGGCGCCGCCGGCGACGGCAGCGTCGCTGGCGGACGCGTCGGCCGGCTGTAAACGGCTGGGACGCTGATGAGCAATGGTAGATGCCGCTGGCCAATGTCTGCCGTTGTTCAGGCGATGCTCGGTCGGTTTGTTTTTACCGGCAGCTCACTCGACGCTGCTGACCACGTTTTTACGCTCACGCGACACTTGTCATGTTCTAGCATCATAAGCTGGCTTTGTGTAGTAAGTTCGAAACTGGTTTGACCGTCGCCTGATCCGGTCTGAAATGAGTGTTCTGTGACGTATGGCAGAAAACGTGTTTGACATTTTTATCGTCATACCAGCCTCAGCCCACTTCCGCCGGCTCCCCATGCCAGGCGAGCCTCGCGTCCGAACCGTGCCCGCGGAGACGGCGCGGTCGCCGGACCCCACCTGCGCGCCTCGACCGGCCTGGTCCGGCCGACCGGCCGCCTGGCCGGCCGTCCCCACACTGTCCATTATTCACCGTTCGTCGGCCCGGCCGGCGGAACCGATCGGTGCCGCCGGAGCACGCGCGCCGCGACTCGTCCGGTCCAGCCCGGCCGCCGCCGCCGCCGCCGCCGCTGCCGTCGGCGGCGGCGATGACCGAGGTGTCGTCGATTGATCGGCGGGCGCGCGCGCCGCCGGCCGCGGGAGCGGTCCGCCCGGCGGCGGCGGCGGCGCGCACCGGGCGGACGCTGCCCGCCGCCACGCCGCAGGCCGGCCGGCTGCCGCCCGGGCCGGTTTAATTAGCGGCGGTCGGCGGGCCGATCGCGGGCGCCGATACTGCGCACGTGGCGCGGCGCTCGTTGGTGTTTAAACGCGAGATGTGATGTGGGAGTCAATGCGCCGGGGTGGGTCGAAATGAGCGGGTGGCGCTTGTTATGACGCAGAGGACGTTGTTATGCCCGTGACGTCCTTGTGGGTAAATTATTGAGGGTCATTGATCGAAGTCAGATCATTACCAGGGCAGTGAAACCATAATCGGCGACCGGCGGCGGTCTTTGACGTATTTGGATTTTGCAGCGCAAGGGGGTGGGGACGGCGCGCGGCACCAGTCAGGGCGGCGGGGATCGATGCAGTGTGGCGGGTGCGTGGGTGGCACGCAGTGCAAGGTAGCTCCCGACCTTCGCCGTAGAACATGGCCGTTTCGGACCGAAACACGGTTCTATTGATCTTTTCGTAAGCGAGCATTCCTGGGAGGCCCAGGCCCACCCGAGCTGTCTGTTCGGTAATGGCTGAGCTGGGACCGCGCCGCGCTGAGCATGTTTGCACTTGGTGTGGTCCAGACGGCCCGAGAACCCAGCGCTCCGCCGGGTACGGGTCCCGCACCCTCGTGGGAGCACTTGGCGCGGGAACCCAGCGGCCCCGCTTGGACCCAACGAGCCCGCCGGTCAGGCCAGCCCAGCCGCTGCCCTCTGACCGTCCGACCCGCTGTTGGCCCCCACCGCTGGTGACGTTCTCAACCGCTTACTAAACCGAGCTCCGCCCGCGTGCTTCGAGCCCAGCCCTCCGCCGGACTTGACGATCCCATTCCCCCCGCCAGATGCGAGCACTTGTCCTCTCCGCCGAACGTAACTCGCTGGCCCACCGTACCTTGCATCCCCCTCCAGCCGGGAGCGTCTCCGCTCTGCAGCGGGCGGCGCCCTCTCGCTACCCTGACGCCCGCCATGACACCCGCTCTGTCCGGCCGCGGCAGGTGAGCCGGCCAAGACGGGCACGGCCACGGTGCGCGTCTACACCAAGAACAAGAACGACGAGGAGCCGCGCTTCACACAGCAGGTGTACACGCCGAACGTGGACGAGAACGCCGGCCCAAACGCGCTGGTCACCACCGTGGTGGCGTCGGACAAGGACGGCGACCGCGTCAAGTACGGCTTCGCCAACGGCGCCAACACTTACGGCCAGTTCATGATCGAGGAGAACACGGGAGTCATCCGGCTGCGCAACGGCGCTATCGAGCTCGACCGCGACAAGTACGAGGTGAGCAACGGCGCTATCGAGCTCGACCGCGACAAGTACGAGGTGAGCAACGACGTTCGACCGCGACAGGCGTCAGATGGAGGGCGATGTTGTGATGTGAGGTGAGTAGCGAGACTGGAGGGGGAGGGGGAGGGGAGAGATTGCGGAGAGGAGCGAGTCTGGTGTGGAGAGCCGTCTGGCGTGAGAAGCGCAGGGCTGGCCCTGTGGTGAGGCTGGACCGCGCCGAGCACGCCCGTTGGCACCGGATGCGTGCCCTGGCCTGCCGGGGGGGGGGGGGGGGGGGGGGATGAGACGGCCGTGTTTGAGTCCAGCCCCTTCCCCCGCCCTCGGAAGCGTCCCACGGCAGCCGCGGCAGCCGCACGCTGCGACGGCCCGGCCATCGACCGAGCCTCGCCAGCCATAATACCTGCCGTGAGGCCGGCTCCGTCGGCCCCCTCCCCCCCCCTTCCCCCGCTTTAGTGTGCTCCGAGCCGCGTCCCGCCGGCCTCGTCTGGACCGACCCCGTCCCGCCGGCGGCGGCCGGCCGGCCCTCGTTTCGGGTCGCTGCCAGCGGTGCCCGGTTATGAACTGCCGCCGCCGTCGCGGACTCTTGCCGCTGCTCTGCGGGCGCGGCCGGGGACGCTGCACGACGGCGTCGCCGGTCGATGCGGCTGGGACACACGGGGAGTGGCGTTACGTGATCGCCGCAGCGGGCGCGCTGAAGCCCCGCGGCGCGGCGCCAGGCGGACCTGGCGGCGACGTGCAACACTGGATATGCTCACTGGATGAGGTGGGGGAGGGGAGGGGAGGGAGTGCAGCTGGAAGCCGGCACCTGACTAACTCAATTAAGGTTGAGCAACTTCGCAGATGGCACTGGGCGCAGCATTGGTGTGGGCCGGAAGGCGAGTGGACTGAGAACTGCGGCTTCCAAGGGCGCTCCTGCTGCCAGCACCGGCTTGTCGCAAACTAGCTTAACTGCAACACTGATTTACGCCAAAGTACATTTGTGTTACGGCTAAGCCAGTGTCACTCACCTGACCTGACGGAACCATACGTGCCCTGCCATACCCTGATCTGCCCTTATATGACATTATGTGACCTGCTATGACCTTATCTGACCTGATCTGACTTGAAGTGGTCTGACCTGACCTGACCTGACCTGTGGTATCCGTCAGGTGAACGTGACGGCCACGGACGACGGCTCGTGCTGCGAAGGTGGCGGACGCACCATCCACACCAGCACCGCCGTGGTGGTTGTCTTCATCACCGACGTCAACGACAACAAGCCCGTGTTCAAGGAGTGCAAGACGTACCGGCCGCGCGTCGAGGAGTCGGCCTCCAACGGACGGTGAGTGACGTTCGCGCCGCCGCCGCCGCCGCCGCCGCCACCCCCGCAGCGGCGAGAGCGCCGGCGACGTCACAGATCAGACATGGCCCTGCTGACCTTTGGAAACTCGGGCGGCGTGGGCTGCCTTGTCACTGCACGTCGTCATCTTGTCGGAGTCCAATGTCGGGACGGCCTCGCGTCTGTGACGTCGGCGTGGATTCTGCGACCTGCCGTCGGCGGCGTTGGCGGAATGGCGTCTCCCGCCGGGTCCCTGCTGCCGGCGGCCGCGGCGGGGAGGCGGCTGTAGATGGCGTCCTCCGACGGCTAACTGCCGTCGGCGGCGGGTGAGGGGGCGGTACGCCGCGGCGGCAGACACCACGTCGCCTTCTCCGTCCTCGGTCATCAGCAGTGTGCCGTGGAGCGCGCGCGCTGCCCGCGCAGTGTCTGCTCTTCAAGGATGTGCGATGTGTGTCGTTTTTTTTCGTGCGTGTCTGTAAAGGGTTTGAATTGTCCACACGTGTCGGCTGGGGGCTATTTGCCTGGGTCGGCTGCGCGCCCCGGAGAGGGCTTCCGCGACCGCTGCCTCGCACGCAAACTGTCGGTTCGAACCCGCGAGACTTGGCCCTTATGCGAGACCCTCCGTGCCAGGTTCGTGCTGGAAGTGAAAGCCACCGACGCCGACAAGGGTATCAACGGCCAGGTCAAGTACAGCATCGTGCAGCAGCCCAACCAGAAGGGCACCAAGTTCACCGTCGACGACGACACCGGCAAGATCTACACCAACAAGGTGGGACGGCTGACGTGCTGCGGGCGGGGGCTGGCAATGGACGTATGGGAAGGCGGCAGACGAAGGGTGTTGGTGTTGTGTTAGTATTCGGATTTGTTCAATGGACTAGGCTAAGCCACACGGTGAAAAAAATCGTTTTTGAGGAACATTTTATCGCTCCCGAAAGCGGAGTGGATGGCTGGGACGTATGGTGAGAACTGCTGACTCCGGGCGTCTGGAACCGATAAATCGCCTGGATTTGAACGCGCCGCTCGATGCGCGGCCGGCAGCCGGCCGCTGTCGGCGGCAGCCGTCGACCAATCAGCGCGACGACAGCCGGCCGACGCGGCCCCAACTCGCCGTCAGTCGCGCCGTCGTCGCCGACGGCCGGCGTCGGTCAGACTGACTGGCCGCATCGTCGGTGCCGGCGGCGGACCTTGCCCGGGGATCTTGCCGCAGCCCGGCAGCACTCCAAAATTCGTCCCGCTGGGTGTCGGGGATGTCAATGTGCACTTATGCTACCGGATGTATGGCTCCTCGGCGGCCTCCGCACTGACAGCATTTCGTCGGCTCCCCATCCGTTGCCCCTTGACCTCGAAGCGGCGTTTCGACCTGCCCACCCGATTTGCCGAGCCCGAGGCGGCCAGGCGCTGCTTTCTCGACCGTCCGGCTCCATCCGGATTGGTCGATCCTGAGCGAGGGGAGGAGCGACAGACTGCGAACGCTGAGCGTTGGGTGCCGGTCACCGGCCAGCTACCGGCTGCCGGTCAGCAATGGCGCGTCGGTGGAGGCGGCGTCGGTCCGCACTGCGCGCGGTCCGTGGCCCCGTGCCGCGCCTCGCGGCCGGGATTGATGCCTGTATTTAAGGGACGCGTTTCTGTGCAAGCGCTCCTTGACACCAGTATTCATGACTGTAGCATCCGACGCGCGCCAAATTGTTACCATGGGAGAAGATACGGGCCTGAGGCTCATTTGGTTTGAAACATGGCGCCGTTTGTCGGAATAACATCGCCTCTCCACGGACCCGCGCTAACTGCTGCCCCGTCCTGCCCCGTCCTGCCCCGTCCTGCCCCGCCCTGCCCCGCCCTGCCTCGCCCTGCCCTGCCGTGGCCTGAGCTGACCTGACCTGCTTACCTTACCTGACCCGAAGTGACGCGGCGTCCACACCCGCAGGTGTTTGACCGCGAGGGCGACGACGGCAAGTTCGTCTCCGTGACGGTGAAGGCGATGGACAAGGGCAAGCCATCGCTGGAGGGCGTCTGCAGCTTCACGGTCGAGATCCTAGACGTCAACGACAACCCGCCACTGTTCGATCGACAGGTGCGACGCCGGAGGGCATGGGTGCCGCTTAAGCGGAATAACTCCACTGAAAATGGTCACGGGTGATTAGGGAGACGCCATCACGGCACCCATCATTTGCCGTCTACATGGCAGATACTGGGTTCGTGGGTTAAACAAAAGTCGTGCAGTAAAGATGTATATTGCCGTCGTTGGATGCTGTTTTTCTTGGGGGGGGGGGGTCTGAGTGATGGGCAAGGGGGGAGTAGGTCTGAGTGATGAACAAAAGGGGGGGGGGGGCTGGGCGATGAACACCGCCGACGTGACCTCCAGGTGACGCACCTCACCGGCGGCCTGTCGCCTCGAGCCGTGTCGAGTGCCGCTGGTCGCTGGCCGAGTCGGGTCAGGCTGACGCACGCCGCTGTGTCACGCGACAGAAATACGTGGAGAACGTCAAGCAGGACACGCACATCGGCTTCAACATCCTACGCGTGTCGGCGTCGGACGAGGACGCCGACAACAACGGCGTCATCGTGTACAACCTGACGGCGCCCTACAACCCCAGCGACCTCGAGTACTTCTCCATCCAGCCCGACAGCGGCTGGATCACCCTGCAGAAACCGCTGGACGTAAGTGAAGCGGACGGCGGCGGGATGGGCCTCGGACGCTGGTGCGCCCAGGCGTCACCACGGCCCGGATGGGCCCCGCTTCCCCTTCCACGCTCCTTCCCAGCTCGCTGCTGACCTGTCCGTGCTCTTGTTTGACTATGCCCGAGTCCCTCCCTCTTTCCGCTCTCTTCGTTCTTGTCAGTGTCCAGAAACGGAAGCCTTGTAAGTTGAGGCAGCTTTCACACCTCACCGTTGTCGGTGTAGTTTCCAAGTTCCACCTCCGCGGTCCCCGTTGATCAAGTCTGGGACTCCTTTCCTGCTCTTATCCGTTGGCTTTTCTGGGGCAGAGCCATTGTCCCTCCCATCTCCAGTGGCATGTGTGCTATGTCATGTTTGAGGCGTACTGTTAACACAATGTCTGGTTGGTGTATTTGGTCCGATGCATAATGCGTAGTACACGCTAAGGCTTTGATAATCGGGTCGCCGGACCAGCCGTGGGTTTAACGACACAATTTCTGGTCCGTGCGCGTCTGGTGTTGTGAACGGTAACAGCCATTAATACGCGGTTCTGGGACAGTAACAGCCAGTAATGCACGGCTCTGGGGCGGTCCATCCCTCCGCGGCCGCTGAAGCCCGACACTCGCTAGCGTTCAGACGGCGGCCGCGGCCTTGTCTAGCCGGCACCACTCGGGTGACCTGAGCCGTCGGTGGCGGCGGGGGGTGGGCCGCCCCCGAGCGTGGCCGCCCGTCTGGACGCCGTAACCGTCGTTGTCGCCGCCGCCCGCCCCGGAGCGGCGCGTCGCCGCCGCCGGCGCGGCGGGACCCGTGGCGCCGCCCTGGCGGCCGGCATGGCATGGCATGCTTCGCCCATTTCGGCGCCGCTCGATCGTCGCGCGGCGCGCGCTCTTGCCTGCGCCTGGCTCGGTCGCTCGGCATCGGCCGACCGGGCGCCGGTCAGCTGGACTGGCTGGTTGATTGGTTGGCTGCCTGTCGGTGGTTGGCTGGTTGGTTGACGCGAGGCGCTGCTCCCCCCGGCCGGCGGCAGGGCTGCGTGAGTGCCGCGGCTCTGAGGCGCCCCCTGTAGGTACCGCACACGGATCCCGGCCGCACGTCCACCTCTGCTCCGCATGACGTCAGGAGCAGCGCCACAGCCGTCACAGAAGCGGCCGCGTGTATAGGAACCGCCGCTTGGTCGCTTTGGCTTGATGCATGGAGTGCTTGGCATGGGCTCGTGGTTTCGTTACTAACGCCGGGTATCACTTCTTTGATGGATACATGTACACTGTCGATGCGTATGGAGATGTTGGCTTGTAGTACTCATTAGGCTTTTCCGCTATGTCTCGATGTAGAAATGTGAACTGGTAGACGGCTATTTCACTTCTTTTTGCTAGCATAGATGATTTCCTCACTGTATGTGCACACCCTTCGGCACGTTTGCGATACCTATCCCATCTCCCATGTAGTGACGCTCCCTGGGTTGCGATCGTCGGAGAATTTCTGAAACCTGGTTTATTGGTCGCCATGCAACTTCAGAATGGGTTAGCGTAGATGATGCTCTTCAAAGAACTTTAAACACATTGAAGCTCCTTTCACGTGGCTTACAACTTAGATAAAGAAAGCCCCGCCTTCATTCCGATTGCGCCTTGAGGCTCCTGTATAGTTTTCGCTGTACTCGGCCTGCGATGAGCTGGTGCCCCTACGGGCGGAGATTCCAGCGTTGCATACCGCCCCCCCCCCGCGCTGAACATTGCTTGTTTCAACGTAAGCACCCTCCTGAGAATGTTACCAGCCCGACCGATCCTAGGTGGCTCGCTGGCGGTCCGAGTGCGGGGCGAGTGGGCCAGAGCACCGTAACGACTTTCAGCTTGTTTTCCAAATGGGCCATCAGAGAAGCCGGAATTACTGGGACCTTTTACGATTGCTCGCTGGCCAACTTTTGTCATTGGAACATGCCTCCAGCTGTCCGTCACTTTATGACCGGTTTATCAAAGCAGCTGGGTGTTTTCCTAAACGAGCAGAAACCTCAAATTCAGAAGAACCTCACCAACTGCTTCCACCTACTTGACTCGGAAAGAGCCCGTGCTGAGGCCAAAATTGCGCTCAAAACGGAAACTCCTGGCGAAAAGACGGATGTAAAGTGATTTGGATGAGTATGCCACCGCTTTCTGCTAGGTGCACAAAAGATCGTTCTACGGCACGCCCAATCCGTGTAAAGCCCAACCGTCGTCACGACAGTCGTTACGTCACAAATGGAATCTACCTGCTCGGCCTGAAAAGGGGCGTGGCCGGTCAACCCCGCCTCGGTCCGACAGCCGCCCCCTCCCCCCCGCCCCGCCTGTGTCTGCCGCATGTCCGTCAGCCGGTGTCTGTGTGCGCGAGAGCCGGCCGGTGTGCGCATGCGCGGCGGACTGACGCCGGGCCGCCTGCAGCGGAGTCAGCACAGGCTGCGCGTGACGGCCACCGACCGCGGCTTCCCGCCGCTCGCGTCCGAGGCCGAGGTGCAGCTGGACGTGGTCGACCGCACCAACAACGCGCCCGTCTGGCCCGAGGACGTGTTTGGACCGATCCACGTGCCCGAGAACGTGACGGCCGGCCAGCGGGTGTACACCGTGAGCGCCAGGTGGGTGGTGAGGGTGCCGGCGGCGGCGGGCTGCGGCGCGCCCGTCCACTAACGCGCCGCCGCCGCCCTGTGCGTGTCGTCCGGGCAGCGCGAGACGTACCGGCTGACGGCGACGGCCGAGGACCGCGGCTACCCGCCGCTCTCGCGCACCGTCGACGTCCAGATCGACGTGGTGGACCGGGCCAACAACCCGCCCAAGTGGGACCAGATCGTCTACGGGCCCATCTTCATCCCCGAGGACAAGCCGGTCGGCTCGAGGGTCGCGCTGGTCAAGGCCAGGTCGGGCTGAGCGAGTGACGCCGGCACGTGCATGCCCCGCAGCGGCGCACTAACGCACGCGCCGCCGCGCCGCATGTCACCGTGTGCACCCCGGCCACTGCGGCTGCTCGCTGGGATGGAGGAGCGAGGACACCGCGGCTCGGTCGGTGCCCGCGCCCTCGGTGTTGTCGGTGCTCAAAATTGGCCTGGCGGTAGTTTCGGTTTCGTGTGTTTGGGTCCCGGTCTGAAGGTACGCTGCTGCGAGTTGGCGGGCTTTGTTCGGTGTTTTTTCATGTCGGCGATATTTTTGTTTGTGCAATTTGGCGCATATCTTGTTTGAGTACAATGTCGCAGTGAACGTTTTGGGAATGCTCCCGGTCCCGCCAGTCCCGGAGACCGTCCCGTGACTGCCCCCGTTATTCGTCCTCTCGTGTTGTCGGAGCTAGACTCGGTCGGCTTTTCCCTGCGTTTTTCTCGGTGTGGCCTGCCCGCTGCAGTGCGTCGTGCCGCTCGGTCGGCCGGTGGGGCGGCAGCCTAGTGTCGACTCCGCCGGTGGTCGAGCCGCCCGTCTGTCCCGCGCCGACGCGATCGACAGTCGTCGCTCGTGTCGGCATCCGGACGGGGCGGTCGGTCGAGTCCGGCGATCGAGGGACCCGGTCTCACGACCCGTCTCAGACGCTCTCGCGGGACCGAGCGGCCGAGACGAGGCCGCCCGGTCCGCGGTACACGCTCTGACGCGGCGCCGGCCCTCACGACACGGCAGCACGCCGCCCCAGGCACGGCATGGGCCCGCCCGCCTCTGATATGACGCGCCCCGCGAGCGCACGCCTCCGATTCACAGGTGCACCTGTTGACGGCGCGTCTGCATGGTGTAGCTCGGCATCAGTGCATGAACAGAGGGCGACCCGACCGGCACCGCGCCTGCGTGCCGGACTCTTGCTCGTCCCACCTGCCCGCCTGGTGTTCTGTTGCCTGCCGGTGGTGTGACGTGCATTTTGCCAAGTGTTGGTGTTGCTGTTCGTTGTTGTAGAGTGGCAGATTTGAGTGCGATGCGCCCGCACGGGCTGCGCAGCTAAGAACGTACGTGCTGTCTGTATTCTCTCCTCCGCGTGGTGTGTTTCGACCAGTCATTTCGGCAGAACGCGGCCGTGTTCGCAAGGCGGCGCGTTCATGACCATGCTGCGCTGTCGCTTACGGTGCGTGCTGCGCGCGGGACCGCGCCGTCCGCTCCTCCCCGCTGACTCTGCCGCCGGCGCCGCCCTCAGCTCCGGCATCGCCAACAACCCGACCGTCTTCTACCAGCTGATCCGCGGCAGCACGGCCCAGACGAACAAGTACGACACGTTCTACCTGCAGGAGCGCTCGATGAACGGCGAGACGTTCGCTGACATTCAGGTCAACCAGCCGCTCGACTACGAGACCATCAAGGAGTACAACCTCACCATCCGCGTGGAGGTGAGCGGCCAGGGCGGCTGCGCCGCCGCACGGGGCGCCGCAATGCTGGGTCGGGATGGCAGCCGGATGACGTGGGTGGGGGATAAGGTCGCGGGCGTGACCCGGGTTTGCGGCTGGCGCTACGGCCAGGGTTGGTCGGATAGGCCGGCAGGGATCAGGCGTTCAAGGCATGGCATTGGCGCTCTGTTGGAGCTGGGGTTGACGAGCACGTGTCCGTTTCTTGTGTCCATTTGAGGAAGGCAACCCATTGCTTTGGACCGACCAGTTTGCCGTGAGCGACCGTCGTCTCCCGGGGATCAGTCGCCACGTCGTCGTCGTTGGCGGCGGCGGCTGCCCGCGGTGACTCGTCATCGGCGACGGTCGCCGTGATGGTCTCAGCGGCCGCCAGCCAGCTGTGGCCGCGGCGCGGCTGGTGCGGCCGGCCATAGCCGCTGCCGTGACCTGACCGTGCTGCTGTCGCCGCTGCCGTGACCTGACCGTGCCGGCTGTCGCCGCTGCCGTGACCTGACCGTGCCGCTGTCGCCGCTGCCGTGACCTGACCGTGCCGGCTGTCGCCGCTGCCGTGACCTGACCGTGCCCGTGCGTCGGCAGAACAACGGAGCGCAGCAGCTGGCATCTGAGGCCACCATCTACATCGTGCTGGACGACGTGAACGACGAGATCCCGCTGTTCACGGAGCGCGAGCAGGAGACGGTGCTGGAGGGCGAGCCGGCCGGCACCAAGGTCACCCAGGTCAACGCCATCGACAAGGACGGAACGTTCCCCAACAAACAGGTGGGAAGAAGGCGTGCCCACGACAGCTATTGCTGGGAGAGGGTGGTGACCATCTCTTTACCAACTGGCCTTTGACGTACCTAATCATTTTGATAATCTGACGCCTGTGGGGGCTCTGCTACTGTAATCTCAGCTAGGAGAGGGTCCCTACCATTACCATGCGACGGTTTCATCGTCGGCCACGCATTGCCAAACTCGATGGCGCGAAGTGCCAGCAGGGCCACGTCAGTGCCAGCAGGGCCACGTCAGTGCCAGCAGGGCCACGTCAGGGTCACGTCGGGAAGGCTCACGGCGAGCCGATCCTTGTCGCTTCATGTTCTCGACGCTGCGGTGATGTTCTCCGGCGACGGCTCCTGGTGAGGTGCCGCGGCGAGCGAGCGGTGTCGATGGCTCGGCGCGAGGCGAGCCGCCCGCCCGCCGAGCCCCGCTGACCTCCGCCGGTGATGTCCGGCGCGCAGGTCTACTACGCCATCATTGACTCGCCGCGCAACGAGGGCAAGGACTTCTTCGAGATCAACGAGCACACGGGCGAGGTGTTCACCAAGGTGACGTTCGACCGCGAGGAGAAGCAGGCGTACGCGCTGGAGGTGGCGGCCCGCGACGGCGCGCCCTCTTCGCGCCGCCACTCGGACGGCAAGCCTAACACAGGTTAGTCGGTCACTCGGCGCAGGTCAGAACACAGGTCAGTCGGTCAGTCGGCGCAGGTCAGAACACAGGTCAGTCGGTCAGTCGGCGCAGGTCAGAACACAGGTCAGTCGGTCAGCCGGCGCAGGCCAGAACACAGGTCAGTCGGTGGGGCGCGGCGGCCGTGCGCAGCGGGTCGGGACTGGGCTCCGTACTGGCACGCTAGCACACTGTGTGTGCGGCTGCCTACGGCGGGGCTGGCTGTCCCCACGTGTCGTGGCAGCTGACGAGTGGTAGCTGACAGGGTGGTTGTGTTTGAGGTCGGTGTTAGTCCGGTTGCCCGGCGGGAGCTGGGGGCGCGAGAGGTCGTCTCCACAGTGAGGTCAGGTGGCGGCTGTGTGGCAGGATGTGTTCACGATTAGCGGGATGTGTCAGTGGCCTGTGCCTGTGGGCGTAACGTGTCCGTGCCCATCTCCCGAAGCACCACTTGTGACGTGTCCGGACTGTGGAGCTGTTCCAGTGTGCCACAGAACAGACCCGGCCAACGCGGCGCGAGCCCCGCTGTGCTGACCCGGCTGAACCCTGCTGAGCTAACTGTGCTGACTGTACTGACCCGGCAGCGTTCTACCGAGCTGACTAGGCTGAGCCCACTGTGCTGACCCGTCTGAACCCTGCTGTGCTGACTTTGCTGACCGGGCAGCGTTCTACCGAGCTGACTAGGTTGAGCCCACTGCGCTGACCCGTCTGAGCCCTGCTGAGCTGACTGTGCCGACTGCGCTTACTTTGCTGACCGGCAGCATTCTACCGAGCTGACTCAGCCGAGCCCACTATGCTGACCCGTCTGAGCCCTGCCGAGCTGACTGTGCCGACTGTGCTGACCCGGCGGCGTCCTACCGAGCTGACTAGGCTGATCCCACTGTGCTGACCTGGCTGAACCCTGCTGAGCTGACTGTGCTGACCCGTCGCCCCGCAGTGACCAAGTTCATTCGGATCGGCATCTCGGACAAGAACGACAACCCGCCGTACTTCGACAAGCGGCTGTACGAGGCCGAGGTGGACGAGAACGAGGACATCCAGCACATCGTGCTCACCGTCGTCGCCAAGGACATAGACGAGTGTGAGTGGGGCGCGCTGCTCTGGCACGCGGCAGGCGAGCCGGCCGCGGCGCGCCCTCCCAGCGTCGGCAGATCCCGGCTGTCGGCTTCGTCTTGCTCCAGCTAGGAGATACAGTCCTCCACTCGCCGCTCTGTGCTGGCAGGATGGAGGAAAAATGTCAGCTCAGATGTGGCTCGTGACGTCAATGAATGAAATGAAGTCGGCAGTGAGGTAGCGCTCCCGTCCCCCGCCCCCCCCCCCCCCCCCCCCCGCCCGCTCCCACTGAGTTTCACCACAATAGCAAGTGCTACAACTGGAGCATCTTTTGCAGTGATTAAGCCTCAAATGTTTGCTTTTCTGACGACTTGCGAGTCGTCGACACCAACTGTTGACCCAAACAAGCCATCCCTCGCCCGCCCAGCACACCCCCTGGACGCCGCGCGACCGGCCGCTGTCGGCTCGAGCCTGGTGTGTGCTGCACCCGTGCGGCAGCGTTAACTCGCGCGCCCGTGCCGCAGCCTCGCGGATCCGGTACGAGCTGACGCGGGGCAACGTGGGCGGGGCGTTCGGCGTCAAGAACAGCACCGGCGCCATCTTCGTGGCCGGCCCGCTCGACTACGAGACCAGGAACCGGGTGAGGCGCGCGGAACGGCGCCTCGGGTCGCTCACGGCCCCGCCCGGCCCCGCCCGGGCAGGGGCGGGGAGGCTCCGCGCGGCGCCGGCGGCTGGAGAGTGCGGCATGCAGTCGCTTGGAGAGCCAGGCGTTGTGCCGGTGACTTCTCACGGTTACGTTGCGATCCGACTGTTCTCTTGTGGGATCTACGCACGGCGTCGGCAGTCAGCCTGCTTCATGCGAGCGTATGGCGCTATGCTTTCTTGGCTAATACGTAAGCGAACTCCAGCAAACTGCGACTTATTGTCTCGTTGTTTGTCAAACAGCCGGCTGCCGCAGAGCATTCTCACCCACCTGTCTTGTTTCCTTGCTGGTGGCGGATGAGAACCACTACGTGCTCGACCCGCGTGGACGACTCCCCCTACATAGTTCGCCTGCCAAGGCGCGCCTGCCAGCGCCGCATCGGCAGTGAACAGAGCGTCTGACGCGCCTTCCGCCCCGCCCGCAGTACGAGCTACGGCTGGTGGCGTCCGACAACCTGAACGAGAACTTCACGGACGTGGTGATCCACGTGCGGGACGTGAACGACAACCCGCCGCAGTTCGACAAGCCCGTGTATCAGGCGCAGATCACCGAGGAGGACGACCGCGGCCTGCCCAAGCTCATCCTGCAGGTGAGGCGGCGCCACCGGCGTCAGACGCGCGGGGACGGGGCGGTCAGTCGCCGTGGCGGTCAGACGCGGTGGAGGACGGGGCGGTTAGTCGCCGTGGGGATCAGACGCGGTGGAGGACGGGGCGGTCAGTCGCCGCGGGGGTCAGACGCTCGGAGGACGGGGCGGTCAGTCGCCGTGGGGGTCAGACGCTCGGAGGACAGGGCGGTCAGTCGCCGCGGGGGTCAGACGCTCGGAGGACCGGGCGGTCAGTCGCCGCGGGGATCAGACGCTCGGAGGACGGGGCGGTCAGTCGCCGCGGGGGTCAGACGCTCGGAGGACCGGGCGGTCAGTCGCCGCGGGGGTCAGACGCTCGGAGGACCGGGCGGTCAATCGCCGTGGGGATCAGACGCGGTGGAGGACGGGGCGGTCAGTCGCCGCGGGGGTCAGACGCTCGTAGGACGGGGCGGTCAGTCGCCGTGGGGATCAGACGCGGTGGAGGACGAGGCGGTCAGTCGCCGCGGGGGTCAGACGCTCGGAGGACCGGGCGGTCAGTCGCCGTGGGGATCATACGCGGTGGAGGACGGGGCGGTCAGTCGCCGTGGGGATCAGACGCGGTGGAGGACGGGGCGGTCAGTCGCCGTGGCGGTCAGACGCTCGTAGGACGGGGCGGTCAGTCGCCGTGGGGATCAGACGCGGTGGAGGACGGGGCGGTCAGTCGCCGTGGCGGTCAGACGCTCGTAGGACGGGGCGGTCAGTCGCCGTGGGGATCAGACGCGGTGGAGGACGGGGCGGTCAGTCGCCGTGGGGATCAGACGCGGTGGAGGACGGGGCGGTCAGTCGCCGTGGGGATCAGACGCGGTGGAGGACGGGGCGGTCAGTCGCCGTGGGGATCAGACGCGGTGGAGGACGGGGCGGTCAGTCGCCGTTAGGATCAGACGCGGCGGACGGAGGCTCGAGAGGGGTCGCCGCGACCTCGCGCGGGGCGTGTGCTGCGCGCGGCGCGGTCCCGCGCTGAGGGTCAGGGCAAATGGGAGCTTCACCGTTGAAGGTCCGGTGATCAGACCCGCTGACGCACGTAACGGTGACGGTCGGACCGGGCGCTTGTTTGTGTGCGATCTCAGCCGGCCGGCAGCGGCAATGTGTGTGCGTGTGCGTGTGCGTGTGTTTGCGTGTGCGTGTGCGTGTGCGTGTGTGTGTGTGTACGTGTGCGTGTGCCCGCCCCTCCCTGCGCGGTTCGGCTGACGGTACCCTCCCCCCCCCGCTCGTGCAGGTGACGGCGAAGGACAAGGACGTGGAGCGGCCTGCCGACATCGTCTACTTCCTGACGGGCCAGGGCATTGACCAGCACCACCCGCGCAACTCCATGTTCACCGTCAACAAGACGTCCGGCGAGATATTCGTCACGAAGGTGAGCGGGCGGGGCTGGGGACCGCGCCGAGGTGCTGACCTCGAGCGCGATGGTCGGCCGAGGGCGCGCCTGGATAGGCCCGGTCACGTGACCGAGACGGGGATGGTGTCCCCTGGCGCTCGCTGTTGTTCGTATGGTTCCATCGTTCCGTCGCAGTTATCTAGGCTGCCGCGACCTCACGCGGTGCTGTTGTGTTTGGTCACCGGGTTATTTGCTGTTTTCACCAAGCACTGGTCTTGCGTCACCGGTGCGCCAAATAGCCAAAGTATTCCGCTCGTTCCAAAGCTCCGAAAGTTTTCAAGCCCCCCTTCCCCCCTCCCGTTTTACGTTGTTCGCGCGGTTAGCTTTTGACCGTTCCCGCCTTCGCTGCGTCTCTGTGACCTGACCTGACCTGACCTGATCTGCGTCCGCAGCCGCTGGACCGGGACATGCCCAACGGCCGGCCCAAGTGGCGCTTCACCGTGTTCGCCCAGGACGAGGGCGGTGACGGGCTGGTGGGGTACGCCGAGGTCCAGGTCAACCTCAAGGACATCAACGACAACGCGCCCATCTTCCCCAAGGGCATCTACCGCGGCAACGTGACCGAGAACGGCACCAAAGGTCGGCACGTGCGACGGGCGCCGGGAGGGAGGAACGGGAGGGGCGGCGGGACTGGCGGGAGGCAGGAGCGGGAGGACGCGGGAGCGGCGAGACTGGGTGCGGTGCAGGATTTGCGTTGATAGTGGCTTCATGTCGGGGAGCGGATTCAGTGGAGTGGTTCAGCTCGTGGTGGAAAAGAGCGACGGACACTGCGATGATTCGTGGGCCGGCAATAGTCGGGGACTGTATGTGAGGAAACAGGTGCCGGAGGAGGCTCGTCTGCCTGCGAGGAGTCGGGGTCATGACGTGACCATGGGAGGGGGGGGGGGGGGTTCGAACCCTCCCCGCCCACCGTCCGGGTGTCGGAGAGCGTCTCCAAACCGCACCGCCTCCGTGTCACCGACAGAGATGATGGTGATGACCATGACGGCCGAGGACTACGACGATCCGGAGGAGGGCAGCAACGCCAAGCTAGCCTACAGCATCGAGAAGAACGTGGTGGACGAGTCGTTCGGCAAGCCGATCTTCGCCATCGAGCCGGACACGGGCGTGATTCGGACCAACGTGTGCTGTCTGGACCGCGAGAAGACGCCAGAGTACAGCATCCAGGTGGTGGCCATGGACGGAGGCGGCCTCAAGGGTGAGTGCGCCCGCTGGCCTGCGGAGCGCGGCGGCCGCGGCGCGAGCAGGTCCGGGGGCCGCGGAGTGGAGGGATAAGTGCGTGGGGAAGGCGAAGGAGGCCGCGGGGAGCGGCGCGCGCCGGAAGTTGATCTGTTTACAGGAATGTTTGGCGCGGGGGATTTAAGAGGTTATGCGCTCACCAATCGACCGTGTGGTCGATTGGTCGCGGACCGTGTGGACCTTGGGTCGCGGGTCGCTGCTGTGTCATTCTGCACGGATGGCCGTCTGCGGAGTGGGCCAGCGCGAGCCCAAGCCCCTGCGACTCTGCGCAGCCGACGGTCGCTGCTACGCAAGCGGCCGACCGTCGGCGGAGAGGACCGGCGTGAGCCCGAGCCCCTGCGGCTCGGCGCTGCCGACGGTCGCTGCTACGCAAGCGGCCGGCCGTCGGCGGAGAGGCCCAGCGCGAGCCCGAGCCCACCGCAGCTCGGCACTGCCAACAGCCGCTTGCGTGGGCGGCCGGCCGTCGCGAATCGTCGGCTGACCTTGACCTGCTCCCGTAGGCACGGGCACGGCGGTGATCCACGTGCGTGACATCAACGACATGCCGCCGCGGTTCAGCAAGTCGGTCTGGAACACGACCGTCGACGAGACGGACGGCGACGACCTGCCGGACAAGGCCATCCTCACCGTGACCGTGCTGGACGAGGACGAGACCAACAAGTTCCACTACCGGGTGAGCGCCAACGCCGTGCCGGTGCACCGCGCGTGGTGGGGGTCTGGGCTGTGGGGGATACGCTACGTTAACGCTAGGCCGTACTTCGTGGCTGCGGGCAGCGTAGAGAATACACCACTGGATGGGGCTGAGCCGTAGTGGATAGCGGGTGAGCACTACTGGTTTGTGGGATACTTTACGTTGGCGGGTGAATACACTACGGGTAGTGCACCGGGCGAGCCGTCGTGCGTGTGAACAACCGCGACATTACCAGCCTGCAGCCCGCTGCAACGATTACAATGTTCAGCCATCTCTGAATACATCTGGGTGTCGGAGAGGGCGCCCAGTCTCGTCGGGGGCCCTCTCTGGTGCCATACCGGCGCCAGTGGCGGGCTTGGGAGAGCCCGTGAACCCTGACGTCGGCGTAGGGCCGGCCGGGCCCTGACCTGTCGGCATCCGCCCGCCAGGTTCTGGAGAAGACCGGCTACGGTGCCGACAAGTTCACCATGGTCCGCAACAGCGACGACACGGGCTCCCTCAAGATCGTGCAGCCGCTCGACTACGAGAATGACAACGACCGCAGGGGCTTTACCTTCGAGATCCAGGTGCGATGGGGCTCCGGCCCGGCCGTCGGGCGCTGCTCCTTGCAGTGCCCTGTGACCGGTGGCGGGACGCCGGTTGAGTTTTGGGTGGTGGCGTGGCGACGGGGCTGGTCACCTGTGGTCGACGGGGCTGGTCACCTGCGGTCGGTTTCGTGCCGCGTTTTCCGCTCAAGGCTGTGTGTGTGAACCTGATTTGGTCGGTCGTCAGAGAACCGCCCAGCATCTGTGCCGGGAGGTGGGATCAGGTAAGCAATAAGAGGGTGTCAGAAGGGCTGGAGCAGCAGTCGTCTTCTCAGCACCAAGTGCCGAATGGCATGGGCAGTCCCCTAAAAACACTCAGCCGGCCGATGAGAAGCGGGGTGGGTCTGACACAGCGCCCGATGCGCCAGGTGAACGACAAGGGCGAGGACCAGGGCGACGCCAACCACGTGGCGCGCGCGACCGTGCACGTCAAACTGCGCGACATCAATGACAACCGGCCCATCTTCGACCGGCCCAACATTGAGGTAGGCGGAAGGCGGCCTTCTTCAGGGCGTGACGACTTCTGGCAGGTTGAGGCCCGGCGGCAGTCGTGGCCGAGTGGTTAAGGCGTTGGACTCGAAATCCAATGGGGTCTCCCCGCACAGGTTCGAATCCTGTCGGCTGCGAAACTTTATGTCCTCCGTCACTTCGGAGCTTTTTCCAGTTGTTCAGACGAGTTTGTTAGCGCACATCCACAGAACACAGTGGGCTTCTCAACGCATCCCACTCTGTTTAATGCTTACGCGTTCCTTTCTTTTTAATACTCACGCGTCCCTTGAGCCCTCTTCGTGAATCTGCTGATCACCCCACTGACTTGGTGTCCCCCCCCCCCCCGCTGTTCCATTTGCGTTCTGTCGGCTTGTTCGGTACTCTCGCTGCCGTCCGTGCATTATCGACTGACGTTCCCCCCACCCCCACCCCCACGCAGGTGCACGTCAAGGAGGACACCACCGTTGGCACGAGCTTGGAGACGTTCCACGCCACGGACCCCGACCAGGGCGGCCGCAGCAAGGTGTCGTACGCCATCGACCGCGAGTCGGACCGCAAGCGCCAGTTCACCATCAACGGCGCCGGCACCGTCTCCATCCAGGTGAGCCGCCTCGGCGGCCGCGGACTGGTGGTGTGGCGTGACCGGCGGTCGCGCCGCCGCCGGTTTGTTTGTGTCCCGGATGCTGCTGAGGCGGACAAATAGCCTGGCTCGTGGAGTCGCCATCTGAAAGGTCCTTTGTGCACCAATCGCTGCGAATCATCTCATAGGGCGTATTAGTAGCCACTGTGCCGTCGCTTTGCGTCTGAGAACCTTTGCACTACGGACTGTCCTCTGAGAACCTTTGCACAACGGACTGTCCTCTGAGAACCTTTGCACAACGGACTGTCATCTGAGAACCTTTGCACTACGGACTGTCCTCTGAGAACCTTTGCACTACGGACTGTCCTCTGAGAACCTTTGCACTACGGACTGTCCTCTGAGAACCTTCGCACTACGGACTATCCTTTGAGAACCTTTGCACTACGGACTGTCCTCTGAGAACCTTTGCATTACGGACTGTCCTCTGAGAACCTTTGCACTGCGCATTGTCCCATAACTGCCCACCAGCGCGCGTCCGCGCGCCCTGAGTTCCCCGCCACGGCGCCAGCCGCGCGGCGTCGCTGACCGCCGCGCCGCCGTTGCAGCGTGGCCTGGACCGCGAGGAGGTGCCGCGGCACCATGTCAAGATCCTGGCCATCGACGACGGCGCGCCGCCCAAGACAGCCACCGCCACACTCACCGTCATAGTGGACGACGTCAATGATAACGCGCCCACCTTCCTGGACGTAAGCCCGCCGGCGGAAGCCACGCGACGGTCGGGGGTGGGGTGGAGCGGCACGCGGGCAGAAGTCCCCGAGGCATTGTTCCTGTTCGGTTGGCTTGCCGATGGTGGAGCCCCGGGAGAGGAGGATTCGTTCTGTTATCCTTGATTGGTACTTACCTGGGTGTGTTGTTCATGCTGAATGTTCTGCGGTTTCGGAAGCGCTGGTAGGCATGCACCGCCCAAAGGGCTCCTGTCGGCGTCTTGGTTTGAGTGGGCAACGGCATAGCCAAAACCAGAATGTGTTGTTTACTGATTGCTTTAATAGTATTCTACTGTCATCACAATTTCCCTGGAATGTGGCCTTTTCCCTCCGTGGCAGAGGCATGGTTCTGTGTGAACACTAAGGCAGTATTGTGACCTGACGGCCAGCGCAGCTCATCCGAGCCGGCCGGCGGCGGCGGCGTGACCCGACGCTGACCCGTGTGACCGTGTGTGACCCCGTGTGACCGCGTGGGACCCCGTGGGACCGCGTGGGACCCCGTGGGACCCCGTGGGACCGCGTGGGACCCCGTGTGACCGCGTGTGACCGGCAGGACTACCGGCCCGTGCTGATGGAGAACGTGGCGCCGCGGGAGGTGGCCGAAATCATGGCGGCCGACGCCGACGACCGCAGCAGTCGCAACGGGCCGCCGTTTACGTTCAAGATGGACCCGCGCGCCGACGACATCATTCGCTCCGGCTTCCGCGTCGAGCACGACCCCAGTGAGTCGGCCCCCGGACTCGAGTCAGCCCCTCGACTCGAGTCAGTCCTCCAGGTCCGGCTTGAAACGCGGCTCCAGTGAGTCCGCGGCCTTAGCTTTGAAACGCGGTCCAGTGTACCAGCGTGAGACGCATGGCGCCGTGTTTCGGGACGCTGGTTTTCCTCGAAGGAGGTAAGTGGGCCTGGTATTCATTAAGCGCATCACCCGCCGGCGCCCGCCGTATTCTCTGCAGGTTGAGCGGCATGTTTCAGTCCCGGCTCCAACCGCGCTCCTGTGCGGTTCGCTGCCGCCCGGGCGCGGCCGGACGCGGCGAGACGGACCGGGTCCGTGTGCAGCGGGACTGGGCAAGACGGGCCGTGCCCGTGTGCAGCGGGGCTCGGCGAGACGGACCGGACCCGTGTGCAGCGGGGCTCGGCGAGACGGACCGGACCCGTGTGCAGCGGGGCTCGGCAAGACGGCCGGAGCTCGACCGACTGACAGTCGCCGCCTCTCTCCCGCAGCGGGCAACAACGGCGACGGCATGGCCGTAGTGCGCTCGCTCAAGTCCTTCGACCGCGAGGAGCGCGAGGAGTACCACGTGCCGATCGTGATCAGAGACGCCGGCGCGCCGCCGCTGTCCGGCACCTCAACCCTCACCGTCATCATCGGGGACGTCAACGACAACAAGATGTACCCCGGCAGCAAGGAGGTGTTCGTCTATAACTATAAGGTGAGTTGGTAGCCGGTGGGCTCGCGCTGCACGCCGGTGTCGCCGCTGACGCGTCGCTAGACGCGGTTGTAGTGCAGCGAGAGGCCATGTCTGGCACACTGGGAGTCATGACCGCATCACGATTGCTAACGGCCAAGCAGTGTCGGTGGCAGGGCAAACTTGTTACAACGTGTTACAACGTGCTACAACGTGTTGTTGCAACGTGAGCCCGGCAGCTTCGTGGGTGTCAGGGTGTGTCGATGCCCTCGCCGCTCCCCTGACGAAGGAGAGACGGGCCGTCCCTCTCCGCGCCGCCCTCGGACGCCCGCGGCGCGTCGCGTCTCGCCCGTCCCCGACCTCCGTCCGCCCTCTGACCCGGCGGCCGCCGCAGGGCATGAACCCGGACGTGGCCGTCGGCCGGGTGCACGTGACCGACAAGGACGACTGGGACCTGCCCGACAAGACGTTCTTCTGGGCCGGTGAAGAGCACCGCTCGTTCCGGCTGGACGAGGAGACGGGCATGATCACCATGCTGCGCGGCACACTCGAGGGACGCTACTTCCTGCGCTTCCACGTGTTCGACCGCAAGCACACGCAGCGTGACATTGACGTGAGTCGGCCGCCCGGCGAGGGCCGGCGTGTGGGCGTGTGTGGTGTGTGCGTGCGCCTTATTGGCTGAGATGCGAACGAGGGAGGGGCTTATCATCCGCATGGCCCACTATGCCTGTCAGTGTGTAAGAGACACAAATTGTGCTGATCAGACCAGACCACGAAAATCGTAGATTGTTAAGGGAGTACAGTGGCTGACAGCACTGCCCAATGGGATGACCTGGGTCGGTACGTGGAGCTCATCGCGAATTTGGTTAAGTTGCCGAACCCGGCGCCGCCTTCGAAGCGCGACCTTACCCGAGCGCTGACGCGGAGCGTGCCGAGTCTGCTCGGGCCTGTGGCCTGGCGCCAATCGGCGGTGGCGGCCGTCAGTGGGCCTGGCCGGCTGAGGGAGCCAGCTGCGGCGCCGGGCCTCAGCCCGTTCCAGCGCGCTGACAGCCGGTGCTGCCGCTCTGGCCTCTAAAGGGAGAGGGGGCGGCCGGCAGCGGCGGCAGGCGGCCGCCGCGCGCTGACAGCCGCTCGGCGCGCGCTGCTGTCCGCAGGCGAACGTGACGGTGGTGGTGCAGAACCTGCCGGAGGAGGCCGTGCTGAACTCGGGCTCGGTGCGCATCGCCGGCCTCTCCGACGAGGACTTCATCCGCATATTGGACGAACAGACGGGCACCGTCAAGAAGAGCCGCCTGGAGATGTTCAGAGAGGTGGGACAGGCGCGGCGCCGCGCGGGTCGGGCGCTGGATGGGCACCGACCGGCTTTGTCGTGGCGGGAGTTGCGCTAGTATGACGTCATCCTGAGCTCGCCAGCTCCTTTGGCGCCATTCAGCGCTCTGTCTGCCTATCACCCGCGCGCGGGCTTGCTGCCAGTGGTACGTCGACGGTTTCGGTGTTTTGAGCTGTATCTCATACTCGCGAGCATCCTTTGACCGGGTTGTACGAAGCCTGAACTGAACTGAAACGGTATATGAGCTGGTGACGCGGCCTGACGACCGCCGGCGTCACCTGGGGTGGCCGGTGTGCTGTCCGACTGCCCGACCTGACCTGACCTGGCCTGACCTGGCCCCGCCTCCCCGTCAGGTGGTGGCCGGTCTGGTGGGCACGGCGGTGGAGAACGTGGACGTGTTCTCGGTGCAGCTGAAGCGGGAGCGCCCGCCCATCATCGACGTCCGCTACTCGGCGCACGGCTCGCCCTACTACAAGGCGGTCATGCTCGACGGCATACTGTTCACCAACCGGCAGAAGGTGGGCTCCGGGGGACGCGCCGACCGGCCACGGGCAGAAGGTGGGCTACGGGGGACGCGCCGATCGGCCACGGGCAGAAGATGGGCTCCGGGGGACTCGCCGACCGGCCAAGGGCAGAAGGTGGGGCCGGCGCCGTCCGGCAGAAGGTGGGCTCCGGGGGACGCGCCGATCGGCCATGGGCAGAAGGTGGGCTCCGGGGAACGCGCCGGTCGGCCACGGGCAGGAGGTGGGGCCGGCGCCGTCGCCCAGGTCGTCACCGGTGGTGTGGGTGCTGCCTCGGACGGCGATCTGTGGCGAGGATCAGCTGGCGGAGCGTCGCGCCGACCAGGGGTGACGGCGTGAGCGCCGCGCCGATCAGGGGTGACGGCGTGAGCGCCGCGTCGACCAGGGGGACGGCGTGAGCGCCGCGCCAACCGGGGGTGACGGCGTGAGCGCCGCGCCGATCAGGGGTGACGGCGTGAGCGCCACGCCGACCAGGGGTGACGGCGTGAGCGCCGCGCCGACCAGGGGTGACGGCGTGAGCGCCGCGCCGATCAGGGGTGACGGCGTGAGCGCCGCACCGACCAGGGGTGACGGCGTGAGCGCCGCGCCGATCAGGGGTGACGGCGTGAGCGCCGCGCCGACCAGGGGGGACGGCGTGGGCGCCGCGTGACGACCCCGGCCGTCCTGTCGCGGCTCAGCCGTGGTGCGGCCGCTCCGCTGGTCGGCGTTCTCTGAGTGGCCGCTCCTGCCTCAGGTGGAGGAGGAGGTGGGCATCAACATCACCATGATTGGGATCGATGAGTGCCTCTACGAGAACGTCAACTGTGAGGGAAGCTGCACCAACAACCTCGTCATCTCCAGCGTACCGTACCTGATCAACGCCAACAAGACGTCGATGGTCGGCGTGCGCACGGAGGTCAGTCCGCGGAGCGAGGAGCTGCGTGGGCTGAACTAACTCCTTCAACTCGGATTTCCAAGCTGTTCCTCCACTCCTGAAAAACCCACGTGTTTACTCCGTTGTAGCTGTTTAGGTCGACGATGTGACGCATTCTTTTACATCCTAACCCTTGCACCTTCGCCAAATCCTCGATTCACCTCAGCGTGCTGTTGGGATGCGTGGTGTGATTCTAGCTTGTGCGAATGCGATGCCTCGAATGCGGTTATTTGCGGGCGGTATGTTCCGCGGCTGCGGTGGTCCGCTGAGCAGACGTTGGTGCCCCTCCAGACCACGTGCAGCTGCAGTCAGACGCCGTGCGATGTGCGACGGTGCGCCGTCGTGCCAGCGTTCTTGTGACTGGCCCTGTGCCTGCTGCCACGGCCCCCGGCCGGCCGTGCTGACCGGAGCCGGCGTGTCGCGCAGGTGGTGCCCGAGTGTACGTGCCAGGCGCGTACCCTCTGCAAAATACATGCTGTGCACAGAATGGGCCGTTTTATTTGGTGATTTAGGACGCAGAATTCGAATATTGAACTGAAAACATGTCATGTCATTCTTATGCAAGATGAGGCCACAATAGGTCACGAAAAGACATGCAAGGTAATATGAGGTCGTCCCAGGTCAATGACTTCTCTTTCCAGTGGCAGAGAGACTAAATGAACGAGTTCAATACGTGCAACCGCCTCCTTATCGCGCTTGTGAAGCCGATGACGCATAATTTCAGGTACCAACGTACCTGTTCTCCGCCTGCTACAAATACCTTGCAAAGCATCGAAGAAACTATGTACACTGAAGATAACAGCTATGCGATGTTGAGTACATGTAGATGTGCAATACACTATTTCTGATCACAGAAAAAACATTGTACTGGTCACATAGACCCGGTTAGTACTTTAATCTTTTATTCGGTTGGATAGTTATGAATCTGAACTAAGCTGAACCCAGATGACCTTAAGGTGAACCTAATATGGCACTTTTGTGTCTGGAATGCTTTTGCTCCACAGCTGCACCTGATAAAATAAACTTGGCCAGGAGCGCCTCGTGAAAAAGCATCTTACTTGTAGGCTACTGGAAGACCAATTTTGAGCGGTGACTTGATCTGACCTGACCCATGAGGGGGAACAGAAATGGCTGAAATTAACTTTCCACGGTTTCAATGGTTATTTACGTGTCTTCAACACTCGTCTTGACATGCTAACATGACTCTAAGGGCATCTATCGGAACGGCAGTTTTTAACTTTCGTGAGCTCTGGTGACATTACATCTACCCTAAGGTACAAATGTGGTATGTATTCTTCACGACCTGACGAGGCCTTCGAGACAGTATCTTTTCATACGACGTCTGGAAGTTTGAGATCTCAGGGTGAAGTCAACTTCCTCCGGGCCCAGCGCGATGTCTTAAACTCCCAGCCCTGCGCGGGTTGACTAATGCATCTCATGTGAGCTCGCGTCGCGTTTCACAGCAAACAACGGCTTCATCGTCAGGCGAAAAACACACACGTATAATGCAGACCATGATGGTTTAACACAAGAAAACATGAAAATATCACACGAGCACATGCATGGATGCACGACACATCACTTAATTATACAGATGCATTTCAGTTTATCATAATTTTTGATGAATGCGATGAGGTCATGTTATTTTGGCGCTGGACATTTATCAAAAATGCATTAAGGCTCTAAGATTGTCAAATCACGCGAAGAAAATTTCCTGTCCGGCATACTAAAATTTGACGTCGGAACTGGGGCGTCATATGTAAATGAAGGTTCTCATAGGGGAGAGCGGTCAGGTTTTGCAAGAAATGTTCTCATCCGGATAGATCTACCTAAATTTTGCTGAGAGTGGCTGTGCAAGTTCCAGAGTGTGGGATGCTGTACAGGAAGCCTCGCATGAGGCACAACAAAACCGCTATTCAGCAGTCAGTTGGCAGCATTTAGATACACTATCCTTATGTTTGAAGAAGTAGCCTTCTTAAACAGACTTGATCAGGATAACCTTAGTATATATCACCTCATAGAATTTCTATAAGAGGCTCATGAGCTCACGTTTGAGGCTTTCGGAATATGAGCCAAAGTACGGAAGAACAAAATATGTCTTGACCTTCGCAACATCGAAGCGCCGGGAAGAGGAAAAACGCCTAGAATCGAGGAACCTGAAAATAAATAAATGGGTGACGCTCAACAGGAAACTGCTCCCTGTAAATTACTGTTTGCTCATTTGTAGGTCCTCTGACTATTTTGGTGAATTCCCTCTTAGAAGTTTGCTCTTCAAATACTACCAATCGACTGTAGTATACGAGTTAAGCTGTGCTTCGTGCGGGGTATCCCACATAGCATCCTGCACTCCGGAACTTGCGCAGCTGCACTCAGCAACATTACGGCAAATCTATCCGAACGGGAACATTTATTGCAAAACCTAACACCTCACCAAACGAGAACATTTATTTACGCGTGATACTCCAGCTGTAGCTTCCAATTTTTGCATCTTGGGTAGAACAGATTCCTCGCTTGACTTGAGAATCTTGGAGTCCGTACATATTTTTAAGAAACGCCCGGCACTAAATAACGTGGCATTATCATGTACATTATATAGTGTGATAAAATGAAATACACCTGATGATTGAAATACACCTGAGTGGGTCGTGTGCCAACGCCTGTGCTTGTGTGGTATCCTCAGTTCGTTTGTGCCGTGTGCGTGTGTTAAACAACCATGGCGTATGCTTTACGTGTGTGTGTGTGTGTGTGTGTGTGTGTGTGTGTGTGTGTGTGTGTGTGTGTGTGTGTGTGTGTGTGTGTGTGTGTGTGTGTGTGTGTGTGTGTGTGTGTGTGTGTGTGTGTGTGTGTGTGTGTGTGTGTGTGTGTGTGTGTGTGTGTGTGTGTGTGTGTGTGTGTGTGTGTGTGTGTGTGTGTGTGTGTGTGTGTGTGTGTGTTTGTGTGTGTGTTTCTGCCTGACGGTGCAGCCGTTGCTAGCGTTGAAACGCCTTGCAAGCTGATAATACATATAGTCCCATTACAGGTTATATCAACTCGTCTTTTCGGATTATGTCGATGGATGTCGTGCAATGATGGTAGCTGCAAACGCGATATGGAAGAACGCAAGTCACGCGTCTGCTGAATAATCATTGCATTATTGTGTTCCTAACAATTGTCTGCGTGCGAGCGTGCGTTGCGCGTGTATGTGTGCGTGCGGGCGAGCGTGCATGCGCGCACGCAAGCGTCGTGCGTGCGTTTCTGCAGTCTGTTGTCACCCTTAGGTGGTATATTTCCCATTGCCAGGAACTCATCGATTACACAGGCATAGCAGCAAAGACAGGTACACACAAAAGGACACCGCGACATGGCGAAACCTTACGGTTAGAATTGCAGCTGGCCTTAAGAGCGATGAATGACACTAGAGAGTACCAGTCACGGTTAATACACATAGATGAAGCTCCCAGCTGTGAACACCGTGCCACGATAACACAATGATCCACCAAAGCGACGGTCTTTGGCCATTTGCCGTGCAGCCGGTCCAATGCGGTCGCTTCTAGTCATCGTTGCATCCGGCTGTCGTCCGATCAGGCAGCTAGCGTCTCCCGGGGCCAACAAAGATGCAGTAGGACTTCCACGGTTTGGCCTGAGTCATGAGCGCGCACACGCTGAACCACGGGCAGACGGGGCTGCACGGCGGCAGGCAGGTGTTGCCCAGGTAACTCGGACAACACCTCCAGGTGCCGTTGTGATGGCCGAGGTTGCAGTCGCAGTCGGTGCAGCACTGGATTTTCGTGGGAGAAAATGAGAATTTGTGGGTGGGACACTCGCCTGGCCTGCGAAGGCCTGAAACAGGCAGCCATCAGAGATCGGTATTAACGAGAGCAATAACGTGAACCAGATTCAGAGGACGCGAACATCGACGAATACATCGCGTGCTGCGTGACCTTGTCTTGGATGCGTCGGAGCAGCGCACCTGGCTAAAATTAAGAATGCTGTGCTTCAAATGATCCACAAGCGACAGCTGCATGCTCTTGGCAGGATGATGTATGGAAACTTCGTTGTGAGATATCCTGAAGGCATGGTTTACGAAAGGTATGATACAGAAAAACGTTGGACGAGATGGAGTGCTATTTCGACCTGCGTTAATTGTGAGAAAGTTGACCTCCATACCTTTGGTCACGAATAAGTTAGTCACAGAACTACACTTTGTCGATACTATGGAGGTTAACGGATCCAAAATATCCGATCTGGTCTCCTGAGGCCAGTCTGTGGTCCATCTGGGGTCTGGAAGACCGCATGCTAGGTCGGTTTCCAGAGGTCGGCATCCAGTCTAGCTTATCCTTAGTGCTTGGAAAAAAGACGCATATAAATGGCATAAGAAGCCAAAACAGACTTTTCCAAAGCAGCTGGCTTACAAGACCATCACAGGTCATTGACAAGCTTACTTCTGAAAGGTTTCTAACCAATCAAAAATTATCTTTGTGCACCTAAACTATCATTATATACGTAGATCGTGCCGGACGCCGGACGCTGATGATGGACAGATCACGTGCAGTTAACGCATTGACATCCGCACAAGACTTCGCAACGTTTTTTTTTCCACGCCGGCGTGACCAGAGCCGTCATTTAATATTAATTCGGCGCTGACCCCTCCCGAAATGCCGACTTGCGTACTTTCCCTATTCCAGTGTTTCTCCGAACCCTGAGAATCTACGAAATAGTTGCAAAAATCAATTATAACATCAAAGATACAAATTAAAGTGGTCGAAGTCCGGGAAGAAATCAAGTTTAGAGGAAGGCAAGGCCAACTTTTTCGGCTGAGCCCCCAACAGATTTTGGAAGCGACACCCCTGGTCGTGATGTTAAGAACGTTACATTAGGCTGGCAGCCACCTCACATGACTACAATTTCAACGCAACTGCAATTTTGGGAGAAAAGTGTAGCTATGACCTAAATGAATGTATGAAGACAAAGTATAAATGTGAATGCCAACCAAATAGGTGGGATTTCCAGCAAATCTTGACATTGAAGAGAAAGTGATTTGGACATACAGAACACGAAATTGGAGCGTGACCAGCGATGAATGGACTTATATTTCTGACTTACAAATTTTTCCAAACACGGCAAGGCTGATGACCACAACTCCCAGGAGCACGGCCATGGACTTCATATTGAATGATGTGCCTCACCACCGTGCCCACCCCGTTTTATAGCCTGCCTGTGCGGACAGACCACACCGATGATTCAGGCCAGCTGTCGTGTTCCTTTGACTCAGGCGTGACCGTGTTGTGATATGCAAAGGTCAGGGTGATGTCATGCCGGAACAAAGCGCCTGTCGGTGCACTCGTTTCACAGGACAGTTTAAATGTCAGGGCCGATCAATGGCTTCCTATTATTATCATTATATATATATATATATATATATATATATATATATATATATA